GTGTGTGTGTGTGTGTGTGTGTGTGTGTGTGTGTGTGTGTTGTGTGTGTGTGTGTGTGTGTGTGTGTGTGTGTGTGTGTGTGTGTGTGTGTGTGTGTGTGTGTGTGTGTGTGTGTGTGTGTGTGTGTGTGTGTGTGTAATTTTCATGTATTTATTTACATAACTACAATATATAATTTACACACTTTAAAATTCCATAATCTTACAGTGGGAGTCAAGCTGTATTTTCCCGAATTACCTTCACTTGATTCTTAAAAAAAAATAATACTAATTATAATTTCGATGATTAATGACTCTTAATTTACTCTCCATGACAACTCTTAATGAGGAGTCACCCTAAAGAAGGTAACAAAATGGCGAGGGTAACACAATGGCGAGGGTAACACAATGGGAGGGAACACAATGGCGAGGGTAACACAATGGCGGGGGTAACACAATGGCGAGGTAACACAATGGCGAGGTAACAAAATGGCGAGGGCAACACAATGGCGAATGTAACACAATGGCGAAGGTAACAAAATGGCGAGGTAACACAATGAAGGTAACACAATGGCGGGGTAACACAATGGCGAGGTAACACAATGGGGGGTAACACAATGGCGGGGTAACAAAATGGTGAAGGTAACACAATGGCAGGGTAACACAATGGCGGGGGTAACACAATGGCGAAGGTAACAAAATGAGGGCAACACAATGGCGGTATCACAATGGCAGGGTAACACAATGGCGAGGTAACAAAATGGCGAGGGGTAACACAATGGCGAGGGTAACAAAATGGCGAGGGTAACACAATGGCGAAGGTAACACAATGGCGAGGGTTACACAATGGCGAAGGTAACACAATGGCGAGGGTAACAAAATGGCGAGGGTAACACAATGGCGAGGGTAACACAATGGCGAAGGTAACACAATGGGAGGGTAACACAATGGCGAAGGTAACACAATGGCAGGGTAACAAATGGCGAGGGTAACACAATGGCGAGGGTAACACAATGGCGAAGGTAACACAATGGCGAGGGTAACACAATGGCGAAGGTAACACAATGGCGAGGGTAACAAAATGGCGAGGTAACACAATGGCGGGGTAACACAATGGCGAGGGTAACACAATGGCGAGGGTAACACAATGGCAGGGTAACACAATGGCGAGGGTAACACAATGGCGAGGTAACACAATGGCGAGGGTAACACAATGGCGAGGGTCTATCATATAGCTCCTTTGTTTATTTATCTCATTTATTTAACCTATTATAATTAAGACAGGTTCGGTTCAGGGATTTATATTTCTCAGGGAGGAAAGTTTGAGGCTAGTGAGAGATGTAGGGGTGACGGGAAGGTGTGTTACTCAAGGCAGGTGTTTCAGTCTTTAAAGATTAAGATACACACCGAAGAGACACCTGCCAGATTACCTGAAGATTTGATACTCCTGATTATTTCACCTGAGGAGGAAATACCTAACCTAACCTACCCTAACCTAACCTAACCTAACTAACTTAACCTAACGTAACGTAACGTAACGTAACGTAACGTCACCTACCTACCTTACCTCACTTACCTTACCTTTACCTTACCTAACCTACCCTAACCTAACCTACCCTAACCTAACCTAACCTAACCTTACCCTAACCTAACCTAACCTAACCTAACCTAACCTAACCTAACCTTAACTGCGTGAGTGTAAAGTGTAAGCAAATATAATCTTTGTTCGTTGTTGTGTTTGTTAATACGGTAAGTGAGTTGGTCATTATGTAAACTGAAGCTGTAAGAAATGGATTATGTGAACAGTAAATATCTGTCCGGGTACAGGATGAGGCTCTTACATGGCCGGGTACAGGATGAGGCTCTTACATGGCCGGGTACAGGATGAGGCTCTTACATGGCCGGGTACAGGATGAGGCTCTTACATGTCCGGGTACAGGATGAGGCTCTTACATGTCCGGGTACAGGATGAGGCTCTTACATAACCTGGGTTCAGAATACTACAGACTCTTGGGTGACAAGATTTTGGGTGTACCGTGTGTGGAATCATGAACAAATCTTTAATCAGCGAGGTTGTGGGTTGAGCCTCGTGTAATAACTGATGATGAGCCAGTCAACCAGTCAGCCAGTCAGTCTCACGTGGGTAAATTAATTCACGGTTTCATAACGTATAAGACATTTTTAATAATAATCTTGCCGGCCGGGTTTACGACACTCACTGCACAAAATAAATATCTCATGATGACAAATTTCCTGGGTTTGTGTCTGGGGGGTAAGGGGGGGGGGGTGTAGGCTACCTGGGCCAGCTCGGTAATATATTAAATTGCATTTTTGGCCCCACTTGTACACCGGCAGTCCCCAGTTGCCGTCTCTCCTATTTGCAACATCTCACTGTGTTGCTCGTATCAAAAATAGTGAATAGCGACGACGCATTTCGCAAATAAAAATCTTGGTGATTATCCAAGTTTTGGTGCGTGTCCCTGAGGGCAGCGGCTGCCTCCGTCATTGTGAAGGTCGGTCGGCTAGTGGGGGCTCCTGCCGCACCTGCAGCTGGTGAGGTTGTTACTGCCGCACCTGCAGCTGGTGAGGTTGTTACTGCCGCAGCTGCTGGTGGTGAGGTTGTTACTGCCGCACCTGCTGGTGGAGAGGTTGTTACAGCTGCTGCTGGTGGCGAGGTTGTTACTGCCGCAGCTGCTGGTGGCGAGGTTGTTACAGCTGCTGCTGGTAAGGTTGTTACTGCCGCAGCTGCTGGTGGCGAGGTTGTTACTGCCGCAGCTGCTGGTGGCGAGGTTGTTACTGCCGCAGCTGCTGGTGAGGTTGTTACCGCCGCAGCTGCTGCTGGTGAGGTTGTTACCGCCGCAGCTGCTGGTGAGGTTGTTACCGCCGCAGCTGCAGCTGGTGAGGTTGCCACGCTGCAGCTGCTGGTGAGGTTGTTACCGCCGCAGCTGCAGCTGGTGAGGTTGTTACCGCCGCAGCCGCTGCTGGTGAGGCTAGCCACGCCGCAGCTGCTGCCAGAGGTTGTTACTGCCGCAGCTGCTGGTGGAGAGGTTGTTACTGCCATAGCTGCTGCTGGTAAGGTTGTTTCTGCCGCAGCTGCTGGTGGCGAGGTTGTTACTGCCACAGCTGCTGCTGGTAAGGTTGTTTCTGCCGCAGCTGCTGGTGGTGAAGTTGTTACTGCCGCAGCTGCAGCTGGTGAGGTTGTTACTGCCGCAACTGCAGCTGGTGAGGTTGTTACTGCCGCAGCTGCAGCTGGTGAGGTTGTTACTGCCGCAGCTGCTGGTGGCTAGATTGTTACTGCCGCAGCTGCAGCTGGTGAGTTTGTTACTGCCGCAGCTGCTGGTGGCTAGGTTGTTACTGCCGCAGCTGCTGCTGGTGAGGTTGTTACTGCCGCAGCTGCTGCTGGTGAGGTTGTCACTGCCGCAGCTGCTGCTGGTGAGGTTGTTACTGCCGCAGCTGCTGCTGGTGAGGTTGTTACTGCCGCAGCTGCTGGTGGCTAGGTTGTTACTGCCGCAGCTGCTGGTGGCTAGGTTGTTACTGCCGCAGCTGCTGCTGGTGAGGTTGTTACTGCCGCAGCTGCTGCTGGTGAGGTTGTTACTGCCGCAGCTGCTGGTGGCTAGGTTGTTACTGCCGCAGCTGCTGGTGGCTAGGTTGTTACTGCCGCAGCTGCTGCTGGTGAGGTTGTTACTGCCGCAGCTGCTGCTGGTGAGGTTGTTACTGCCGCAGCTGCTGGTGGCTAGGTTGTTACTGCCGCAGCTGCTGGTGGCTAGGTTGTTACTGCCGCAGCTGCTGCTGGTGAGGTTGTTACTGCCGCAGCTGCTGCTGGTGAGGTTGTTACTGCCGCAGCTGCTGGTGGCTAGGTTGTTACTGCCGCAGCTGCTGGTGGCTAGGTTGTTACTGCCGCAGCTGCTGCTGGTGAGGTTGTTACTGCCGCAGCTGCTGCTGGTGAGGTTGTTACTGCCGCAGCTGCTGGTGGCTAGGTTGTTACTGTGCCGCAGCTGCTGCTGGTGAGGTTAGTTACCGCCGCAGCTGCCGCTGGTGAGGTTGTTACTGCCGCAGCTGCTGCTGGTGAGGTTAGTTACCGCCGCAGCTGCAGCTGGTGAGGTTACCGCCGCAGCTGCTGGCGAGCAGCATTGCCGCAGCTGCAGCTGGTGAGGTTGTGCCATCGCCGCAGCTGCCGCTGGTGAGGTTGTTACCGCCGCAGCTGCTGCTGGTGAGGTTAGCACGCCGCAGCTGCTGCTGGTGAGGTTGTTCACGCCGCAGCCGCTGCTGGTGAGGTTGTTACCGCCGCAGCCGCTGCTGGTGAGGTTGTGCCACCGCCGCAGCTGCTGCTGGTGAGGTTGTTACTGCCGCAGCTGCTGGTGAGGTTGTTACTGCCGCAGCTGCTGCTGGTGAGGTTGTTACTGCCGCAGCTGCTGGTGAGGTTGTTACTGCCGCAGCTGCTGGTGAGGTTGTTACTGCCGCAGCTGCTGCTGGTGAGGTTGTTACTGCCGCAGCTGCTGCTGGTGAGGTTGTTACTGCCGCAGCTGCTGCTGGTGAGGTTGTTACTGCCGCAGCTGCTGCTGGAGAGGTTGTTACTGCCGCAGCTGCTGCTGGTGAGGTTGTTACTGCCGCAGCTGCTGCTGGTGAGGTTGTTACTGATGGTTATTATTGTTGTGAGGGTATTGATGAATTTATTAAATGAAGACGTAGCGTAACGTGTGTGTGTGTGTGTGTGTGTGTGTGTGTGTGTGTGTGTGTACACCGACACAGGGGGTGACTCTTCTATGGGCTCTTTACCTGTTATGATCCCCACAGGTTGATCACCACCAACAGGTCTCTACTGGTGTAAGTGTTACCACAGGTTGAGCGTCTCATTAACCATTGCGTTTAACAGGTTTTAGGTGGTTATAGTTTGCCTTGAAGACATCTTAGTTGGTTGGTCTTTTCGTTTAACACATCTTAAATGGTTCACCTTTATTGTCATACGAAGGGAATTTTGTTTTCATTAATCTGTTTGTTGCTTGTGAGTACCCCCCCCCCTTCCACGATCACCACCAGTATAATGTAAGTGTACAACTATGGACAAACATTATCACAATCACGCTCAGGTACAGTCCCCGTAAAAAACTATCGTTCAATTTACCGTCGCTACAATTTGAAACTCTAGAGGAATTTGCTTTGATATGATTCCCAGTGCATCATCAAGGGTTAGACGCTCGTTGCTCCCCAGTGCATCATCATAAGTTGGTACGCCTGCCGCCCCCAGCACTTCATCAAGGTTGGTACGCCTGCTGCTCCCCCTGTGCGCATCATCATAAGCTGGTACGCCTGCTGCCCCCAGTGCATCATCAAGGTTGGTACGCCTTGCTGCTCCCCCCAGTGCATCATCATGTTGGTACGCTCGCTGCCCCTACATCAACAAGAACTAGAGATGGGGGAGGTGAGTCGTATTATTATAGGATATTAAATACTTCAATATAACCAAAAAATCCATTACGTCTTATGTATCGGTCAAAATCATCCATACTCATCCATGGTCAAAGGTTCAGAAACAGGCTCGAGTATAACATTGCTCGGAAAGTCTTGAACCACCTCGATACTTTTGGGGCGGACTGAGAAAGAGAAGGAGTGAGGGTGGCTGAGTGGATACAGCCCTCACCTGTCCTTAGGGATCACTGGTTCACTCCCCCGGGGCACCCCCAGTCCACCCAGCTGTGAAATGGTTGGGCACGTTGATAGGATAGATGAGGGCAGTGTCGAAAACATGTGGAAATGAGTAGGTTTATGGTGTGTGTGTGTGTGTGTGTGTGTGTGTGTGTGTGTGTGTGTGTGTGTGTGTGTGTGTGTGTGTGTTGACCATAGCATCTACCACCTGGGCGAGTTTGACCTCACAATGAAGACAAAGTTATCGGGTCGTAAAGATAGCAGCCGTTCATTATGCTAATTGCTGTAGCAGAACACAAATGACGACTGAATAACGGTGTGGTGGGGAACAGGTGTGGTGAATAATGGTGGGAGGAAACTGGTGTGGTGAATAACGGTGTGGTGAATAATGGTGTGGTGGTGAAACAGGTGGTGAATAATGGTGTGGTAGAAACAGGTGTGGTGAATAATGGTGTGGTAGAAACAGGTGTGGTGAATAATGGTGTGGTACGAACAGGTGGTGAATAACGGTGTGGTAGAAACAGGTGTGGTGAATAATGTGTGTGGTGTGAAACAGGTGTGGTGAATAATGGTGTGGTAGAAAACAGGTGTGGGTGAATAATGGTGTGGTAGGAACAGGTGGGTGAATAATGGTGGTAGAAACAGTTGTGGTGAATAATGGTGTGGTAGAAACAGGTGTGGTGAATAATGGTAGGAACAGGTGTGGTGAATAATGGTGGTAGGAACAGGTGGTGAATAATGGTGTGGTAGAAACAGGTGTGGTGAATAGTGGTGTGGTAGGAAACAGGTGTGGTGAATAATGGTGTGGTAAACAGGTGTGGTGAATAATGGTGTGGTAGAAACAGGTGTGGTGAATAATGGTGTGGTAGGAACAGGTGTGGTGAGAATAATGGTGTGTGGTAGGAAGAGGTGTAGTGAATAATAATGGTGTGGTAGGGACAGGTGTGGTGAATAATGGTGTGGTAGAAACAGGTGTGGTGAATAATGGTGTGGTAGGAACAGGTGTGGTGAATAACGGTGTGGTAGAAACAGGTGTGGTGAATAATGGTGTGGTAGGAACAGGTGTGGTAAATGATGCAAAATAAACTTGTAATTGGTGATAATGAAAACCAACAAGTTTAATTCAGAAATATTTGATAAACGTCACAGTATAATTTGTTGCTTGGAAATATAATACTTTGGATCACCTGCAGAATAGGCACCCTCGCTTGACTCACCTGATGATTAAACAGCCTTACGCTAACCTAACCTAACCTAACCTAACTTAACCTAACCTAACCTAACCTAACTTAACCTAACCTAACCTAACCTAACCTAACTCACATAATTCCTTCCAATTTTTTAACACGAATCGATACAGACATTTATAATCAAAACGTATCTATGTATGTATGTATGTATGTATGTATGTATGTATGTATGTATGTATGTATGTATTCTTCCTAATATAGTGAAGATACGAGACACTGTGTGGAATGTGATACTGTGAGGTTGGTTCAGTAGTCTCTCGCGTGCTGCCTGGTCCTGCTAACACAAATACAACCTAGCTTGGTGTGTTGTGTATAATGTGTAGCGTTGACTGTATAATCCTTTAGCTGTCTGTCTGTCTGTCTGTCTGTCTGTCTGTCTGTCAATACTAGATGATGCAAGTTGTAGGTTGGAAAGACTTGAGTGGTAGGTAATAGGGTTAAGGTGTTGTGGGGGTGTGTGAGAATTGGTGTGTGAGGGGTGTGGGGGTGGTGTGTAGAGGGGTGGGGAGTGGTGTGTGAGGGTGTGGGGGGGTGGTGTGTGAGGTGTGGGGTGGTGTGTGGGGTGGGGGTGGTGTGTGAGGGTGTGGGGGGTGGTGTGTGGGGTGTGGGGGTGGTGTGTGTGAGGGTGTGGGGGTGGTGTGTGAGATGGCAGGGGTGGTGTGTGGGGGTGTGGGGGTGGTGTGTGTGTGGGGTGTGTGGGGGGTGGTGTGCTGGTGTGGGGGGTGGGGTGTGTGGTGTGCGCAGGGTGGTGTGTGGGGTGTGGGGGTGGTGTGTGTGTGAGGGTGTGGGGGTGGTGTGTGGGGTGTGGGGGTGGTGTGTGAGGGGTGTGGGGGTGGTGTGTGGGGTGTGGGGGGTGGTGTGTGAGGGGTGGGGAGGTGGTGTGTGAGGTGTGGGGGTGGTGTGGGGGTGGTGTGTGAGGTGTGGGGGTGGTGTGTGAGGGGTGGTGTGTGGTGTGGGGTGGTGTGTGAGGGTGTGGGGTGGTGTGTGGGGTGTGGGGGGTGTGTGGGGTGTGGGGTGGTGTGTGTGGGGTGTGGGGTGGTGTGTGAGGGTGTGGGGGTGGTGTGTGGGGTGTGAGGGTGGTGTGTGAGGGGTATGGGGGTGGTGTGTGAGGGGTGTGGGGGAGTGGTGTGTGAGGGATGGTGGGTGAGGGTGTGGGGGTGGAAGTATGTGAGGGTGTGGGGGGTGGTGTGTGAGGTGGTGTGTGGGGGTGTGAGGGGTGGTGTGTGGGGTGTGGGGGTGGTGTGTGAGGGTGTGGGGGTGGTGTGTGAGGGTGGTGTGTGAGGGTGGTGTGTGTGGTGTGGGGGTGGTGTGAGGGGTGGTGTGTGAGGGGTGTGTGAGGGTGTGGGGGTGTGTGGGGTGGTGGGTGGTGGGGTGTGGGGGTGGTGTGAGGGGTGGTGTGTGAGGGGGTGGTGTGTGAAGGGGTGGTGTGGTATGTAATAATAAATAATAATAATAATAATAATAATAATTAATGGTTTATTGAAAGAGCATGGCATCCGGAAGGTTGAAAATATACACTTACATAATTGGGCATTTCAACATAGTAACAGTGCAAAAAGTAAGATTAACTGGGAGTGAATACACTGGTTGATTACAAGTTATTGATAATTTCTACAATTGTTGGGACTGGGCTGTTCTTATAGCGATCAGTTCGTGCTCGTATGGGCTGGATGCGGTTGTGGTGTCGAACAGCAATTCTCGGACGAGGGATCTCGGTTGGTAGTAGGAGCCGGTGTGGAGGATGGTGCAGAAGCTTCTCACCAAATTTGCAGATGAGGTCGTGGTGATGGTCAGTGAGAGTCGAAAGGGTCAGTGTGTTGAGCGCTTCTTGATATGTGGAGTAGGAAGGGAAGAGAATAATCTTGCATGCCCTCTTTTGCACTTTTTCTAGGTGTTTACGTTGTGTGGCATTTAGGGAGGAAGACCAGGTGGGGGAGGCATAGGTGAGCTTGGGAAGTTTAATGTAGTTCTAAAGCCACTATGAAACCCTTCACTATCTGAAGACATCTGTAAGGTGGGGAGGAGGGAGGTGAGGAAGGGGAGAGGAGGAAGGAGGTAGGGGGGGAGAGATGGATGTGATATAAGCGTTGTTTCCATAATTTAGTGTGTGATTGCTACCAGTAGTAAATAAACCTTGGCCAAGTAATACCTATATCCTTCCTTCCTTCCTTCCTTCCTTCCTTCCTTCCTTCTCATTACCTATACTCACTGTAACAGCTTTCCCTCATCTTTTATTAATGACTTCAGACGTGTTCATTTTGTGTGTGTGTGTGTGTGTGTGTGTGTGTGTGTGTGTGTGTGTGTGTGTGTGTGTGTGTGTGTGTGTGTGTGTGTGTGTGTTCCCTCCTCCCTCCTTGTGGCACTGCGCGGCATCATTCCCGGTAACTAGGACATGGCACTACATAATAGTCTCCCAGAGGACTCAACCCCCCCCCTCACCACCAGGCACCATTTCCAGAGTTCTTCTATCTCGTTTTTCTTCTAATTCGGGTGGAGGGGGGTGGGGATATCTACTCTCGGTGGAGTCTAGGAGCAATTTTGACGCCATTTTCTATGTTAATTGTCCTCTGAAGTAGGTTAGTGAGAGACTTATTTACTTCTCACGTTACGATGAATAATTTATCGTGTGAATCTGTGGAGGATCTGGTCCCCAATATCTCCTCGATAATTTTTTCCCTGAGGATCGTGTGAGTGTGTGGGTCTAACTGGCTCCGTCAGTCTACATCACGAGTGTTGGCAGCCAGCAGTAATGGTGGTGAAATTGCTTTTGAGACTGAACTAGACTCGTTATTTCTTATCTTGTTCAGTTAGAAGACTACCAGCGGAAGTTGTTAGTGTTTCTCGTTATAGATTTAGAGACTCAAGTGCTCTTATGGTTGTTTTTCCCTCAGTTGTAAATATTAAGACAAATGTATCTAGTTATCTGTAGCTCCAACAGGAAGACAGTAACGTGGCTTCAGGGTTGTAT